TCTAAATGCAATTTGTGCCTATTTAGAGCACGATCACCAAGACTGGGATCTGTATCTGTCGCAGATTGAGTGTGCACTCAGAGGAGCGGTTCATCAGGCTACTAAAGTAGTACTTCGCGCTGTTTGGTCAAAATATGTTCACCAACGGGGCAGATTACCAACTAGCGAGACGTTTAAAGGCGTTATAAAACAACGACAAAAGAAATCCGGAGGAATTCACACAAGGCATACGAAAGAAGCGCAGCTGTGTACGATCGGAGGTCACGAAATGAACGATTACAGTCGGACAGGAGGTATACAGGAAGAACTTTACCTTTAGTAATTTCGGCCAGAACTGCAACGCCAAATTCGCGAAGAATTTGGTTAAGTGGAATATATCACGCGAAGGATTTGAAGCAGTAAGAACAGACCTACAAGCGACCCACGACAAGCACTGGAAGAGAAGGTGTCGCTGAGAAAAGTTTGCTGCGATTATGTACTCACCTGGCTCCCGCGACGAGATTCCAAGTCCATTAGTGGCCATCGACCCAAAACAAACACAATCCGATGTCCAGCTGGGGAAGAAGAAGACCTCTCAACAAGGTGATCGGTATCGTATGTGGGTGTGATCCCTCGTTGGGCCTTGTCCTGATGTCTAAAATGATCCTCCGTGTTTTCAGGGTAGTTTAGGATGTTCAGATGTTTGGTGAATGTCCATAGGAGGGATGTCTCTATAATTTACTAGCGTTTCGGAAAAACAAGCATCCGAAACGAAAGTTCGGTTGTTGTTTCGCCTTCCCTCAGTAATCGATTAATCAGGAAAACCAAGGAAGCAAAGTGGGTTTGGGGTCCAGTGATGGGCAACGTGAAAATTGGTGTCGGCGGCGCGCAGTCGCAGCGGGTTCATTCTAATAGCAGCCTCCTTACAGCAGTCGCGGTGTTCAAGTGGCCATCAGCTCCAAGACATTTTCAATCAAATTTTCGAACGCAGGGCCGTCAATTTAAAAGGAGTGATCCCGCTCATTTAAAGTTTTCGCCAGTCGCCGACGCCGAAAAACGGTCTCCGAAGCCGGACTGGACAAGGCTCTACGGCCAGCCGAGAGGAGACGAGAAAGGTAGTGGCCATGTTCCACTAGTTAGGGCCTGGCAATGTTTTTTTTTGGAGCAACCCCGGTTTTTCAGCCGAACGTTACGTAATCGGCGGATCCGGTGCCTCCAGCCGACAGGCACTTGGAGGAACCCTTCGTGCCTGCCAGAAGTTATCCTCGCGCTTGGAGAGTTTATTCAGGGAAGAGGCGTAATCCTGTCCAGAATTCGGTGGAGTGACTCGATCGAGCGTAGCAGCACGTGGTGGAGTTGCGACATCAACCGGAGCTGGAAGAGATCGGCGGCTTAGCGCGGAATAATTCTTTTATATTTATGTTGTGACGTCCACTAATTTAGCTATTTATTTGTTTATTAAATTATTTATAATTTGTTTGTATAATATTTGTTGGGGAGGGGATTTTTATTACTCTTAAAAATTAACCTATTTATTGCACAGTATTTATTGCACGATTATTTATTTATTTATATCACTAATTTAAATCAATTCTTTTATTGCCGTATACGAACAATTAACGGCGAGTGTTTTCATATTTGTATTTATTTATTATTTATCACTTATCGCTCCTTCTGGGCAAGGCTTAGTATTTAATTCACCAAAGCCGAAGAACAAATAACAAAAAAACACCAAAACAAACATAACCGCAATTGTATCGCGAGGCATTTGTTAATCCCACGGGGAATCCTCTCCAGTGACCGCGTCGAATAGGTCGCGTATTATCATCAAGTCTGGGATTCACTTAAGAGAGCTCTTTTAGGTGGGGACCGAAAAAAGAAAACAGGCATTTTATCCGTCTACACAAATCCCTGTGTCTGGGACTATTGCACACGGCGGGCGGTGGTTGATGGGTTTCCTTACGGGAAGCTGAAGAAATTCTGTAAATAATCTAAGTGAATAAATGGTAATAGTATGAAAATGGAGTAGATCTATCATTCAGAGGGGAGGGAACATGTAGACAGTCCCAAGCTATCCTACGGTGACCGATACAAGAGGCAGTCGGAGACATCTACGGCTGCTACGCATAGGCTTTGGGTTTGCCCCCAAAAGCCCACAATATCTCCAATGGTTTCCTATGACCTAGAAGGGAACAAGTGGGGGAGTTAGTTTTATGATAATCACGTGTTTTTTTAGTCTTATAGTTGTGCACATTTCGTCAATGTTTTGGTCCAGCAGTAAGACAGCTTTGCAGCGTGAAGCGTTGTAAAGTACAAACATATGTTTGTTAAATGTTGCGTGTGTGTGGGCAGGGTTGGAGTACTGACACCCCAAGTGCTCTAGAGCTAGCCGGCGCTGCTTTCGCGGACACAGGTAGTCCAATTTTGGGACGTAACATATTTAACCTTAAAAAAAGGCGGGACCTCGCCCATATTTTTTATTTTAATTCCTTTTGTATTGTATTTACTTTTATTTATTTTTTATTGTATTTACTTAGTTCAAAAATCAATACTTTTAATGGTGCTTCTATTTTAAGTTATTAATTAATGACATAAAAATTAGTCAAATTCCCCACTGTCGCATATGGGAGCGTTAAATTTATCCGACAGCTCACGGATCATCGAAACGGATCTTCTCTGCACCGTCTTTAGCCCCAGGATCTCAGTAATGTGTGTCGGAAAAACAAAACGACGATTATCAAATCTGTTTTCCAACAAATCCAACGCAATAACAGAGTTGCCATCCGAAACTTCCAAAGTCCGAATGGTTTCTAGCGTAGCGTCGCTTAGATATGATCGTAGATGGTGCAGATTTTCTGTGATGGTTAGGTCAGGATGGCTTTCTATGATCGTAGTAAACATAGCCTTAGCGAATTTCGGAAGCCCTATGTCGTGGATGACGCTGCTGAAGGCCAGAAGCTCCAGGAGTGATACCGACAGCAAATGTTGAGTTTAAAAGCAATTGCGAGGCGCATATTGATATTTACGCTCGAGCCGATGATTTAAGAACTACGAGAACGTTATCAAATCTCTCACGCAAATCACTTTCAATTACATCCAACGACAATTCTTCAATCTCGTTGAGAAACTTTTTAAGTGTTTTTTGAAGCTCATCAAGCAGCTCCAACCTCACTTAAAGGCCGGACTCGAAGGATTTAAAGGCCAGAGAACGAATTCAACATTTTTGGCTTGGTTTACTTACCAGCTATCAATTTATATGCAAATGGGACGAGAAGGAAGCCTTGAACTTCTAATTTACATAAATAAAAACTTCGTTGAACATTTTATTTATTTTTATTTTAGTCTGTCTGTCTTTCTGTCTGTCTGTACAAGCTTTTGCCCATTGTTGTGAGACTTGACAGACGGGAAGCAATACCACAACGGGGCAAAACCCCAGAATAGTTGAAGTGCTGGAGGAGATCCACTAGAGAATCCCAGTAGAAAGGAACATGGGAAATCGGTCGATCTCCGACAAGCTCTTCTTTGAGGAATCCACCTCCACAAGCTACTTGACAGCTAAAGCGGAGATTGAGGACGCGCCGGCTTCTATAGGGAGGAAAAAATAAGGTCGCCCGCTAAGGGACAGCTGGAGGAGCCATCACCAGCAATGATTGGCCAGCCTATTGGGACTCGGAGCTGGACTACAGATGGCGCGGGAAAGATGGCGAAGCAGCCATGGGACGAGAAGGAAGCCTTGAACTTCTAATTTACATAAACAAAAACCTTCGTTGAACGTTTTATTTATTTTTATTTTAATTTCTTTGTGCGCCAGCAGACTCTTTTTTTTAAATTGTTCCAATTGATTTGTTTTCCGTTTGGCAAGAATCCCAGCTGCTTGACAATAAGACCATGCCATATGCATTGCGGGTGAACTTTGAAAACTTCGGTCACACTACAAAGAATACGATTTTTCGACTAGTGAAACTCTTAGCCGATCTGAGTACTAGGCCTTAATTTTAAAATTCCCCACCGTATATGCACGAACACCGCCATAGATTAAATTTCTTATTCTTTGGCCCGCGGCTAACGTCGTTCATCGAAATTCACTCGCTAAATCTGGTATATTTTCTGGTATTTCCTTAGCTCATCTGAGTACCCCGCTGAAAAAAAGACCCGACGAATAGTGTTAGCAGCGTATTTGTCGAAGTCGTTTAATATATCATAATTTAAGCCTAGTACTCACATCGACGAAAACCGCGAGCTAACCATAGGAGTGAGCGAGAGGCAAATACGCAACTAACGTTTTTCGTCGGGTCTGTTTTTCAGCGCGGTACTCAGATAAGCTAAGGAAATACCAGAAAAAATACCTGATTTCGCGAGTGAATTTCGATGAACGCCGTTAGCCGCGGCCCAAAGAATAAGAAATTTTATCTTTGGCGGTGTTCGTGGGAAATTTAAAAATAAAAAATGAAAAAAAATGCCTAAGGAGGTTAGTGCAGATGAAAAAGGACGCCTAATCCAAGCTGTTGCCCGTTATTGTGGGACTTGACCGACAGGAAGCAACACCACAGCGGGGTAAATCCGCACAATAGTTAAAGTGCTGGAGGAGATCCAATAGATAATCCCAGTGGGAAGGAACATGGGACATCGCTCGATCTCCGACGAGCTCTCCATCAAGGAACCACCGGACTCCACCTCCACCAGCTACTTGGCAGCTAAAGCGGAGATGGACGACGCGCCGGCTTCTGTAGGGAGGAGGAAATAAGGTCGTCCGCCAAGGGGCAGCTGGAGGAGCCATCACCAGCCATTACTAGGATGCTGGGCGACTTCATGCAGCATCAGGCGGAACAACCCCGTTCCCAATTCGGCTCCCACATCCTAAAGGTTCAAGATTTGATTTGTTTTCTGTTTGGGAACAACCCAGCTGCTTGACAGTAAGACCCTGCCACATGCATTGCGGGTGAACTTTGAAACCTTCGGTCACACTGCAAAGAATAAGATTTTTCGACTAGTAAAACTTTTAGCCGATCTGAGTACTAGGCTTTATCTGTGAAGGAACAGTTACCAGGCGAAATGGCACTAATGGACATAGTGCTAGAGAAGGTAAACGGGGTGACATTTCAATGAAGCTGTGTGAACCCGTGGTCAAAACGGGCAAGCACAAATACCAGCTTACTGAGAAGGGCTCTACCAGTCTTTCCGAACACACAAGGTAAATGTAACTTGGATGTAAATCATCTTCAGATGGCTTTTTTACTGTTTCTTTCTAGAGTTTACCTGTCCGTTGGCCGCATGTTCCTGCTGACGAATGTACAGTACATGTGCGAAGATCTAAAGGCAAAACAAGAGAAGTGCGACAAGGCGATAGAACTACTAGAAAAAAAGAAGGCCTTCCTACAGAAGTCCCTCAAGGATCAAGAAGACGGACGTGAACTAGTGAAGCAGCGTAAGGGGGCCGACCTGGTTGCGAAATAAACTCTAACTCAGCATTTATACCTCAATGCAATTGCTTATTTATTTTCAACATATTCGTCTAAATTTAAATTAGCGTAGCTCACAAACGAGTTTCCCAGATTACGGAAAACGGGCAGGCCGCTAGTCAGCCAGGGTTCCGCCACCTCCCCAGAGCAACAAGAGTTAGACAGCCGAACGCTGGTGGGGCAGCGGCAGCGGGGCAGCAGACAAAGCATCTTCACTGCTCGCTTTGTCACTGGAGAGGAGCTGGACAATAACTCATAAAAGGCTAGAACTGAAGCCCAGCAGAGCGATAGAAAGGATACTTAGCAATCCTTACAGCCGCTTCCCAAAGGCAAAAATAAAACACCAATCAATAGACTCCGATTGGCCAAAATCCAATGCAGCTTCCTGGTGATCGTCGCTGATGAACAGGTGTCTTAGTTTAAACAGCTCATTGCGAGCGCCAATAATGTTGCTTGCATTTCCAAACCAAAATTGCCACGGCCTTCTTCTGGTGCATATAAAACGTTTGAGGCCAAGAAGAAACGACATCGTTGAAAGATCCTTGATCAGCTACAAATGAATAGCTTTCGTGGCAAAAGCTGACATAGACGCAAACGTAACATTTTACTAAAGGCTTGTTTCGCACTTCCGACTGGTACAAGAATGGCCCGTAAAAATTAATACGCTTCTTTGAAAGATCCACCGCTACAAGCTTTACTATCCGCGGCTTCTTTCGAAAGCCTCTAACGGATTTGTTAACTGCCTTGCTTACTGTTTTCCTCCCCCAATAGGCCAATATTGGCATCAAATTATGCTGCAAATAGTGCTGCAGGGTTCGTTCCATAAGAAACGATGTCTAGCTTGAACACTTGCAAATGGTCCTGAAAGGAATCCCTCCACAGAATGCATTGCAAGTAGCAGTCCCCCTAACACAACGGTACATTTTGAAAATGTTTCCTGTGATTGCATTTGGGTTTGAACGAAACCTATAAAGAATCTGAAACAATTTATGCTAAATAACGGGCCCCGCCATAAAAAAATTGTTGAGAGAATAGACAGATGAACTGGCCTAAGATCCATTGAAAACTACGCGAATTTTTGTGGTGGAGCTATCTTCCTTTATGACGCAATGATGAGCCAAGAAGTAGACTTAGAGACTAGTTTTTTTTATTTTTTTTTATGCTATATACTAACAGTAAGTGTTTCCAATCCCATACTAATTAACCTAACTCCGGCGTTGAACGTCACTTTAAGTATGGCTGACAGATATGAATTGGCGTGTCGATTTAATCCTCTTAAGAACAATAAAAATATACACCGCTTTGGATTCTCCAAAAAATTTGCCTAACTCACAAAAATTTAAGCATGTAAACAAGTATTGTCAACAAGTATTGTAAAAAAATACTATATTGCTTCCCATTAGATTTTTTAGAACAGTTTAGTTCCACATATTCAGTCATATACAAGCAAACGGCCGCATAATTGTCACTAATACAAATACTTATTCGTTTAGATTAAGGTTGATTGGAATGATTAAAGTATTTTACCACCTTATAATTCCTGCCAAAAATGTCTTTGTTATATTTATTACTAAAAATTATAAAAAAACCTACGGACATATTATTGCATGCGAGACGATTGGGGTGCTCAGAGGGTTTTTCATTGTAGGACGCTTTTTGTTTGTCTATTTCATCTTTTACGGCAAAAATGACGAGGTCCCTGTTTGGTTGGATGTTTTGGTTGCGAATATACCATGGTGCCCATTTGACAGTTCGCAGGATTTTTGATTCAACGCGCTCTTTAATGTCTATGTTGTTGCTGCTCGCGTTCCTCCATAGCGGGGAGCCTTATGTCCAGATGGGCTTGAGAGTAGAGTTGTAGAACAGGACTTGTAGTCCAGGCGCATGAGCGAACGAGCGTTAAGGATCCAGTGGAAGCTGCTGGCTTTTAGTTTTAGATGTACTTTCTGGCGTTCGATGTGTCTTCTCCAGGTTATTCGTCTGTCAAGGTGGACTCCGAGATACGTTACTTCGTTTACTTGGGGGACCTGCGTACTATTAGATGATAGTGGAGGACATGTTTGCCTATTGAGAGTAAAGGTTATGTATTTACATTTTTTTTCATTTATTTTAATACGCCAGTCAGATAACCACCTCTCTACTACGAGGAGGTGACTGGCTAGCTGTGTTGTTGCTCGGCCTAGGCACCTCGAGCGACTTAGGATTGCAGTGCCGTCAGCGAAGGAATTTGTTGTTAGCTGCTCGTTCGTAGGAATATCCGCTGTGTATATGAGGAACAGAGTAGGCCCTACTGCGCTTCCCTGCGGGACTCCAGTTTCGATAATGTAGTCGTCAGATGTTGTTGTGCGAAGATTTTGTTGCAGAGATACGACTCAAGCTACTTGAGTCGTCAGGCAAGTGTGTTTTGACTTTGTGAAAGAGGCTGTTGAACCATACTCGATCGAAGGCTTGAGGTACATCGATGAATATTGCGCTGCAGAATTCCCGATGCTCAAAGTCTGTGCGTATTTCTGATGTTATTCTGTTAACTTGTTCGATTGTTCCATGATGTTGACGGAAGCCAAATTGATGAGTAGGGATAACATTGTGTGATCCTAGATAGTGTGATGCGAGTTAGCAGGCATTTTTCAAACAACTTAGACAGACACGATAATAAACTTATTGGTCTGTAGGATGATGGATTTGTGTGGTCCTTTCCGAGCCTCGGTATAATTATAATAATAGATTTTTTCTATTTTTTCGGATTGAAGAGCCTAAAAATAACCTTGTACGCTGGGGGGTAGCGGGGCAACGCTGGCGCTGGTAGATGGCGTGGGAAGTGGTGGCGGAAACTTGCGGCGTCGGCGGGCTGCTGCGCTGGGCTTTGGCCGGTGCGGCGGATTGCTGCTGGTGCGGCTGGCGTACGTCGGGTGCGGCGGACTGCTTCTACGATGTAGGGGAGAAACCACTCAAAGCGCGAAATACCCCAGGCAAAGAAAGTACCACACATACGCAAACTTCGATTTAGTTAAAATGAGTCGGGGGAGCGACGTTGATTTATTCCACCTAGTGACAGAATTCAAACTACTTAAGCCTAAGAAGAGTTCCGCGCTCCAATGCGCAGTAGAGACTCCACGGAGGGGAGATGGGAACAGAGCGGTGTACTAGGTGAGCGGTGCACAAGGAGAGCGGTGCAACAGGAGAGCGGTGCAATTGGATAGCGGCGCCGGACAGTGGGTCTAAACATTCCGCCCCCCTTGCAATCGCTAGCTTTGCAAAAAGAGACGGAAACCCGGCCAGTCGCCTACGCCTTAAGCTTGCGTGCAGGCGCCAGAGAGGATCCACCCGAACACTGTCTTCTGGGCTACAGGCAGTCCCTTGTCGACCATGTGTATCACCTTCGGGTAGACGTCCGCGCAAAGCATCAGGGAAACGGTTGCTGGCCAATGGAACCGCTCATCCGCGAGCGGAAGCTCCCTAAACTTCTGAGCCAAGCTCTTACTGAGCTCACGGATGGGAGTGCGGAAGCGCACGTTCGGTTCGATCTTCAGGACCACCTCCAGCTTGATCGTCTCGTCAACCTTCTACCGAATCGTCGCCGTGCAGATGCTCTCATCTCTTACGTTGGTTGTCGGCAAACGAAACGCGGCGGCCATGGATACATCGATGGAGCTTGTCGAGGTGCACTGATCGATGAGTGCGGCGGGGTCGAATGTCTTCTTCCCGGTCCCGGCGATCACCAAAGCAGTCGGGAGGACGTTGGTGCTATGACGTTGGAGAAGTGTCGAGAGCGACGGAGCTGGTGTCGAGGATGCTGAACGCGGTGAAGGGGCAAGCGTTTGGCGAGTTGGCGGGTCTTGCCGGTGCGAACGCTGCGGAGAAGCGGGCTGTTGCTGGGAGCCGGACTTTGTGAATCAGAGTGTGATGGTTCCGGTCGCACGTTCTGCACTGGTCACCGCTACGACAGCTCCCAGTGGAGTGCTCGTGTGCGAGACAGTTTGCGCAGTATTTGTTTATGAGTACTCAGCTTTAGGAACCTCTGACACTTCCAAAGAGGATGGATTCCGCGGCAGACTCGGCATCGGTAGGATTGAATTCCTCTAGTACGTCTGCTATCCAATGCCTGAGCGCTACGTGGACGGGGAGCCATTTTCCTGGTTAGAGTGTGGATAAGAAAAAAACAAACAGGGCTGAATAAAAATGACGTGGATAATGGTTACGGACTAAGGTGTATGGGAAACGCGGCTCATTACTAGGTAGTTTTGGACGGCTCTCTTGGAAGAAGAACCACCTTGGTCACTGGACGTTTGACAATGCCGCGTGCCATACGAATGTCGACTACGCGGACATTGCCATCGGTTCCCGGAAAAACGGAGTCTATTCTTCCGAGTCGCCACTCATTTGAGGGCAAATTGTCATCCTTAATGACGACCATATTGCCGACGCGAAGATTTTCTGTGGGAACTTGGCACTTGTTGCGCTTGTGGAGCTCCTTAAGGTAATCAATCGGTCACAGACTCTTTAACGGCTTGCAGAAAGTCTCGAGAAAGCACGGTGGAAGCGCTGACGAAGGTCTTTCCATTGTCGGACCGAACTTGGCGAGGACACCCTCTTCTAGATACGAAACGAGCGACGGCGGCAAGAAACTTTTCAGTCGTTAAGTCGTATGTAGGCACTAGATGGAAAAACAAACGAAAACCAACTTATACCCCTGTGTAATGAGACAAGCTCTTCCGGTATAATTTTTTATATCAAACGGGCCGGCGTAGTCCATCCCTGTGTACGTGAACGGACGGGAAAAAGACACTCGCTCTTTCGGAAAACTTCCCATCATCTTGACTTGCAATCTCTTTTTATGGATAACGCAGACCTTGCAGGAGTTAACCACTGCCTTCACCAAGTTCTTTATTCTCGGAACCCAGTATCTGGACCGAATGAGACGCACCACTAACTGGTTGCCACCATGTAACGTAATGAGATGCGTGAATTTGACCAGAAGCCGCGAGAGTGCACATTCGTACGGCAGGATTATCGGATGTCGT